GAATTGAAACCCGGAAAAGATGAACATAAAGAACAATTGCGCAAAAATTGTAGGAACCGACACCCAAAGTCTTTTGATTTTTCAAACCTTTTTATTGATTTTGACTCTCTCTCTCTCTCTCTCGACCACGAATTTTCCCCCTTCTTCCTCATAATTCCAAACCTTTTATAGGTGCGAATTTGCTTAGATTTCTCATAGAATCAAACGAGTCAATTCCAAATTCACTATCAAATCTCAAAATTTGAGATTTGATTAGCTAAACTATAAGGAAATGGATTAGTGATTACATGATTCTCGACTGTATCAATTCCGGCCAAGAATCATGATAAATGCAAAATCAAAAAACACAATTGATGGAAGATTTAGATAGATTTTTGAAAAAAAAATTTCGGAAGGAATATGGGTTAGAGTGGATGACAAGTTATCCGCTCAATTTCGATCATGTCGTTTGCTCTAAAATTTTAATTTAGTCCCAATGAATTTCAATTGTTTGCAATTACACCATCTTGCTTTGTACTTTCGGTACAATTTTATCAATTGGGTTCATATAGGGTATAATTTAGATTTTGAATTTTTCAATTGGTTTGATTATACTCCTAATTACTTTAATTACATTTTTTTAATGCAATTATCCCCCTAAATGTAACTCATGAATTTTTTTTTGTATTTTCTATATATATATATATTGCTTCTTTTTCCTCCTTTTTAGAAAATAAATAAATTCTTAAAACAAGTAAAATTAAAATAACTAAAATTAAAATTGTGATTTTTTTTTTTAATGACACCAGCCACCTAGATTTTCTCCTCCAAATAGTTGCAAATCTACCTTAGGTATAGCTTTGTAATCAAATTTCAAGAATTTAGGAATATAATTGGTTCACCATGATGAACTAGCTTTGGAACAAGATCAAAAAGAGCTAGAAGAGGATCGATTCTCTTTGTCCGGTTCTTTCTCAACTAATGTAACCCTCTGTTCCTTTGAAGAGAGTGGAGAAGAGAGAGAGAGTTTGCCAATTGATTTATTCAGTTTCCGTTGTATTTGTTACTTGAAAACAGAACAACCCTTTCTTCCATGATTTATACACTAGGCTTAACTTGTAACTAATCCATGTCCACGTGATTGCACTACTTATTAACTACTACTACTACTAACTCAATTACAACGAATTACTAATTGATCAATTACAAGGCATTGATTCTGATTATAACATATCCATGTACGATCAGTGATATGAGAGTTGAAATTAATGCCACCAAATTTCTCCATTCCCTGAATTTATTCGCTCAAGTAAAAGTTGAAATATTTTGTTAAAAATTTTGGCCCTAAGGTTTTTTTGTGCACGAATCTAATGTATACCTGGAAATGTCATATATGTACTCCTTGAATTGAATGGTCTTCGAAGACATGGAGAGATGGGTAAATTGTCTTTGTAAAGCCAGTACTTTTGCTAGGCATTATAATTGTTATATTTTGGCCACCAAACCACTGCTTGCCAGAAAGTTCAACAAGAGAGAACTTCTTTTCAAAACTTATCACGCTATCTACTTAACTAGAGAGGAAATTAATCAATACAATAGCAATAATCATAAAATTTTATAGTATCTATATATAGTTTCCTTTGCTTCTCTTTATGAACACACCTAATTTGTAATTCTGCGTCTAAATTAATTTGGTTACGTAATACATAATTGGCACTAGCCCAGATGATGCTAGATGTCAAGGAAGTAGGTCCACTGGGCCTAATCTTTCTACTAGTTTCATCAAGAGGTGTGGAAAGCTAACAAGTGAAAGCATGCATGCACTCAAATAAGAAACCGAGTGATTTGTTGGCTAGAGTTCAAGAAACGCGCACTTGACATCCATTGCCCCTTGTGCATGTCATGATAAAATTCCGAAAGGAAGGATATTTAAAGGAAACTAGTATGAGTCAAAACAAAAACATCACTAACACACTAATACTAGATATTATCATAATCATAATCTAACATTATCAGCAGTATTGGTGATGGTGCATGCTAGTGATGGCAGTGACTTCACACAAAGATTATGTTTAGGTTCCAAGGCAGTGACTTCAAATTGAGAAGAGCTTAAGCGTCACATGTACGTGGCAGCATTTTAATGAACTCCCAATGTCATATATACTACAATTAGTCATTGAGGATGTGCAATACTAACGAGTTTTTTGCAATCTTATTTCTATAATGAGGTACTTTTAATCTTATTTTCTAAAATAATATATTTTATGCCATTTAAGATCCACATAAAAAATCCAAGTCATTTCTTTCTCAATATAGTATCCATGTCATGTAAAAAAATAATTAAGAAATTAGTAAAACCTCTTTTCTACATTATAATTCACTAATCTAAATTTTGAAAAGAGAACATTTTTTGTGCTATAAAATATAAACCTCAATCTAAAATTATAAAAACCCTAGAGATTATAAACTTTCATAAAATAAATAATTTTTTCCCACCTATCTTGATGTTATATAGCTTAATTCTCTATAAAAAAAAAAAAAAAAAAAAAAAAAAAAAAAAAAATTCTTCATACATTAAACTATATTTGGTATCAGAACAAAAGGAAGGCAAGATAATGAAAAGCAGAAGGAAGTTCAACAATGGTTAATTGATAGATTTACATTAACTTTATGAGAGAGAGAGAGAGAGAAGGAGAAGGTCGCAATCAGATTGGGATAAAAAATAATAATTTGATGACATTGTTTATCTTCTTAGTTAGAAAGAAGGACTGATGTTTTAGTAGAACAAAAACAATAATTTAATGATTATCTTCTTATTTAGTTAGAAAGATGAATTGATTTTTAAAAAGAGATTGACGGCACATAAACAAAAAGTATTATATAATTGCTTGAATTAGCTGTTTTTTTATTAAAAAAAAAACAGTGTTTATTGATTATAAAAAAAATAATTAAACTTAAAATGACATGGATAATTAAGCTTACATGGCAAAAAAAAAAAAAAAAAGAAGCTTTAAATTCATAAATAAGATTGAAAATGTCTCGTTTTTATAAATAAGATTTTAAAGTACCTTAATTTGGGGAAAAAAAACTCCAATACTAACCATGTTGTGACATCATCATCAATTAAGTAATTTTTATTAAGATACAAATCCTGAATTAATTTAACTAAAAGTGTGCATCTTTGTTGGAACTAGAGGATTCAATTATAAAATTTTACAACTCACATACTAACTTAAAAAATTGGGGTCAACTAGATCTTATACGTTATTTTGCATACCCTCCCCCTCCACCTACGAAAGTCAAAATGAAACCGGGAGCGTGCCATTGAGTTTTAAAATTTGAATCACTGTGTTTCTTTACCTAACAACATTGTAAGGTCATTACACCAGTACACTTAACTTAATGGATGTGTATCCAATTAATTTTTGTAACGAAATAAAATTTAAGTTTTAATAACTCTAATTTTTTTTATATTATGTAATAAGAAAAAAAAACTACTCCAATTATATAGTTTAAAAACCCAATAGGCCTCCGATAAAAAATAAAATAAAATAAAATTGGGGCTATTGAAATTAAAAATAATAATAATAATAATAATCACCTTATTGATCAGTATATAAATAAGAACCAAATTAATGAAAAAAAAAATCAAATGAATATTGAAATTATAAGCGATGTGGACACATCTCGACTTGGTTTGTGAGAGAAGAAGTAGTACCATTGCTAACATGTTTTTATTGTTTATTATGCATTCTTTAAGTTAGTTATGGATCAAGGGCAAATGCTAAACACCGAATAGCTGTAGTATTATAGGGAGCTTCTTATTTATTTTTATTTTTTTTAATGGGAAAGCTACTTTATTGTAGATGTGTAAGAGATTGCAAGATTTCTAAATGTTGTTTTTGTTATTGAGAGGGAAAAGCGTACATCATATTTTGTTTACTCTCATATATAGATATATATATATATATATATATATATATATAATTAAGATTCTTGTTGCTGCAAATCTTTGCTATGATGCTGCCAATTAAAAAAAAAAAAGAATAAGTTGCATCTATGTAACCAAATAAAAAATTGCATGTATGTCAAAAAAATAAGAAAAGAATCTTCAATAGGAAACAAGAACTTCCCAATTTATTGACTAACTTCTTCGTTTTATTCAACGATAAAATGTATTTTCAAAACTAATTTATGTGTTAACCCACTCGATGCATTTAAAAAAAAAAAAAGAAATCATTCTATTAAAATCATTTTCACCTTCTTAGATATCATTCATTAATTCTAGTGACTATTTGAAATTAAATAACTTTCAATGAGAAAAAAACGTACGTCTTCTCTTTTCTTTTTGATTCATTGACAAGGATGGAACCTTTGGCTGTTTAAAATAGTTGGAATCTTGTTCAAAATTCTCTGAACGGTTCCCATCAACAACCAAGAAAAAAAAAAAAAGTTAATTAGTAGCTAGGAGAGAATATTATGATTAAATCATGTGAACCAGATCAATTGGCCTAGCTGGCTATCTTCTATCATGCATTAGGATAGGCTATGAATCACAGGTACTATCCAATTCTGGTTCCTAAATAGAGTAATAACGTGCCAGCCCCTCCAATGGTAACTTGGGTTTATTTTAACCGGGCTCCGTACTTAGCTATTAACCAGGTCTTAAACCATAGTGCTAACTAAGCTAATGTACTGGATAATCATTGCTTGGGTGATGGAAACGCAATAATAGATATAAGGGAGAGAAAAAAAAAGTATTAGTTATTGCTAATAGTAGCCACTAAAGGAAGAAAATAATGTGATAGGAAGAAAAAGAGAAGCTAAAGCACTTTCATAGGACCCATAGCATGTCTCCTCATTAGCCCCATCTGATGTGATTTTCATTATTTATTTTTTCCTTCGCAACATTTCTCTCTTCTTCTTCTCCTCCTCCTCCTCCTCCTCCTTCTCAAATATATTCTTAATTCCTTTCTCATAACCTCAAAAAAGTTACTTGATTAACTCACTGTTTTCTGGTGATGTCAAGCAACAAAGGGAAAGATGTAGCAGAAGGTTCGTCAAGAGCTGGTGCTAATGCTCCTGATCAGCAAAATCCACCTCCTTTGAGTCGATATGAGTCGCAGAAGAGGCGCGATTGGAACACTTTTGGTCAGTACTTGAGGAACCAGAGACCCCCAGTTGCATTATCACAGTGCAACGCAAATCAAGTGCTTGATTTTCTTCGATACCTCGATCAATTTGGCAAGACTAAGGTGCACTTGCAAGGGTGTGTCTTTTTTGGACAACCTGAGCCGCCAGGGCCTTGTACCTGCCCACTTAAGCAAGCCTGGGGGAGCCTTGATGCACTCATCGGCCGGCTTAGGGCTGCTTATGAAGAAAATGGTGGCTTGCCTGAGACAAACCCTTTTGCAAGCGGTGCTATTAGAGTATATCTACGTGAAGTGAGAGACTCTCAAGCCAAGGCAAGAGGAATTCCTTATAAGAAGAAGAAGAAGAAGAGGAATCCGATGAAAGCTAACGATGAGAGCTCAAGCTTTCATATGCAGTAATCTTGATTTACTGTGGTTTTCCCTAGAAAACAATGGTAATTTGTTCCATATTTTTCCTCTTTGTTAGAAGTGATTAGCTTTTATTCAAAAAGTTGGATCTAATAAAAGATCAAATACAGCAATCAAGAAGTAATTGATCAATATTAATGACTATAAATGAACTAAGTTCTGTAATACTTCCATTTTAATATTATGAATTAATTAAAATTTTCAAGCTAACCATCACGGCCAAGAAATGCAAGAACATGTGTAGAGAAAAATGAAAAAACTTTCTAATTAGACTTGGTGCATTTCATTTCCCTCTTTTCCTAAATGTTAAACCCTAGGCCAAGGGCTCCAAACCCTAATCTGCGTATATATATAGTTAGTTCAAAGAGAAAACACATGACCTATATTTTTATATGTTGCAGTAGTTAGTTATACTTTACCTGGACATCATTAACAATCATAAGATATGTATGCCTAGAGGATGGTGTAAAGATCTTCCTTTCTTTCCCTCTTTAATTATCTCTCTTGCAATATCAGTGTCTTGGCTCTTTTGGGATTCTGCACGATCTTGTGCCCGCCATGACTGGACTCAACATTTTAGCATATTATATGTACATAAATATATACAGTTAAACACGCATACTCAGACCAAAAATATATAAATATACAAGTATATATTATACAAATGTAAGCACACACACTCATCTTTGTCAGAATCTTAAGAAAACTTGATGGTGGAAGACCTGACGAGGATAAACCAAATGCTTATTTGGTGTGCTTGTTTGTTGTTGTCGTCACTAACATCAGCTAGCTAGCTATATTTAAGACCTAATATATGCCACCATTAAAAATGCTTTCGTGCTGCTTGATTTGTTTGGTTATATTTTTGTGGCATTCTTGTCCCTTCTTGAGATTTTTTAAACTCACATTGTGTTCATGTCTTTTTCTTTGGTAATGCTACATGTAATTAATTGATCATTGTACCTTAACCAGATCATGTTTTGTCAGCTTAGACGAGTAATATTCTGACGTTCTATTATATATATGTTACCCCACAAAGTTTCTAAGCTAGCAGTACTATTGTAGGGAGCATTTAGGAAGATTCTCTCAATAATTGATCGAATGGAAGACATCAACTTCGTTGGTATAAAAATATTTGTAGGGTTAATTTAATTATTGAGTAATTCTAGCTAGATACAAATAGTATACTATGAAATTCTAGCTCAAAATTAAATCTTGCTTATGTACTGCTTAGTGTTTTGGCAGCTATATTTTCAAATCCTTTCAAGTAGACCCAAAATCACAAGTATTTATTTAATCAAATGCCTGGTGCTTTGAATATTCTCTTTATATACTTTTTCTTTTCAGCTCTATTTGTTTCCTTCAGTGTTTCTGCTAGTTTGCCATTGGACTCTTCTCAGAGAAACCTACTGCCTAGTTTGCAAAGTCATTTCTCTTTTCATCTGCTTTTAGACACAGTACAGCTCTGAAAATGTCTGTTGTGGTCCTCATTTTAAAGTCTCACAGAAACAAAAATCGTTCAAAACAGTGAGTTGAACATTCACAGTGTGTTTCAGATAGTTTGCTATCACCTTCACCAAACTCAATATTAATTGTTTAAATCATTTCTCAACCATTCAATTCTATGATACTAAGCTTCTCTTTCTCTTGTATTTTAACTTTTATGGTGTGATACTAACAACTTGATTACTGTGTTCAGATGGCCTGATATGTTTGCCTTTTGTCGTTTATTTGTATCTTCATTCTGTGCAAAATTCTTTCTTTGATCTCCTTTCAAATATTTGCATTAAAATGTTTGGATATATTCTGGCATTTGATTCTTCAAATCATATTGTGAAAATTTCTTAAACTCTTTTGTTTGAACAAAGTACTTTTGTGCCATGGTCTGGGATGCAGTTAATTTATTCTCTTCAGTATGCTGACAAAATACTATGCCTATGTATGTTATTTGTTTTTCCCTTGTCTTCAGTTTCTTTAACCTTCTTCTCTATTGTCTACTGGCCTTCTTCTTCAATTTCTCCTATTTCTTGTTGATGATCCCTTCTTCAGCTCTTCTTGGCTTTTCTCAGTATATTTTGAGAACATTTTCTCTGCTTCTCCCCCTTCTAGTTTGTCTCAGGCATTGGCAACTTGTTCTTCTGTTTTGGTCTTCAGTCCTTTTCTTCTTCAGTTTGATGGGTTTGGTGAAATCTGGGTATTTCTTTGCTGGGCTCTTGGTATGGTATGCTGGCACACAAAAAAAAATTATTGCTTGTTTTGTTCTTTGATAGCAAAGATCCCATTCTTGGTTTGGGATTGATGGTATGATAAATACTGTGAAAAGCTCTTCCTTCTGTATGAAGCATTTAACTTGGTAACTTCCATTGACTTGGTTTCTTTTCTCTATTAACAGCTTTAATATTGTTGTTGATGCTGCTTATGATCACTGTACTCTTTCTCGGTCTCTTAGCCAAATAGTTTAAACCACACCACAGATTAAAGCTATTATGATGACTATTACAGAACACTTCAATTCAAGAGTTTTTGTAATAAGATGAAACTTAAAGATAGCCTTTTATATCTTCAACACACTCCCTCTCACATTGTTCGCATGTAGTGAAATTAAATTTATAAATCACAGTAAAGCAAAATTAGAACTCCTAGACTAATTGGGAGGTCATAAGGCCCTGATAACATACTAAAAGCCCACTCAAAGAAAAAAAAATTCTATGTCAATAGCAATTTAATATAGCTAGCTAGTATGAATTAAAATCGGAAGACACTGAAAGGGTTTTTTTGTTTAAGAAGTAACGATGCTCAATGTGAATTCATGTACAGGAGAGAGATTGCTGTAGTTACATCTATGAGTGAATCCTCTACTGTTAGGAGTCAAGAAAATCAGAGATGGATCCCATTATCTAAATACGTAGGCTTTTAAATTTAAAATGGTATTCAAGCACATAAAAACAGAGATAGTTTAACGAGTTATGTAGCTGATAGTTTTTTTTTAGTAAAACAAATTCGTGTATCCTCACACAAAAACGAGAGATAGTTTAGTCTATAAAAACAGAAATAGTTTAACGGTTATGTAGCTGATAGTTTTTTTTAGTAAAACAAATTCGTGAACCCTCACACAAAAAGAGAGATAGTTTAGCCTATAAAAACGAAATAGTTTAACGGTTATATACCCGATAGTTTTTTTTAGTAAAACAAATTCGTGAACTCTCACACAAAAACGAGAGATAGTTTAGCCTATAAAAATAGAAATAGTTTAACGAGTTATGTACCCGATAGTTTTTTTTTTAATAAAACAAATTTGTGTACCCTCACACAAAACGAGAGATAATTTAGCCTACAAAAACGAAATAGTTTAACGGTTATATAGCTGATAGTTTTTTAGTAAAACAAATTTGTGTACCCTCATACAAAAACAGAAATAGTTTAGCCTACAAAAACAGAAATAGTTTAACAATTATGTAGCTAATACTTATTTTAATAAAACAAATTTAGGTACTCTCACACAAAAACGAGAGATAGTTTAGCCTACAAAAACAAAAATAGTTTAACGATTATGTAGCTAATACTTATTTTAATAAAACAAATTCGCGTACTCTCACACAAAAACAAAGATAGTTTAGCCTACAAAAAATAGAAATAATTTAATGGTTATTTAGATTATGGTTTTTTTATTAAAACAAATTCGCGTACCCTTCATTGTGTAGGTTGAGGTCTTTAGTTATTATATAATAAAAAAGAACTATAAATTCAATCTCCTCATGAATGGAAAATAGCATTCAAACACACTGTCAATGCCATTATTGCATAGAAACTTATCAAAATCCCTAACAGAAGGACTATCCATGATAGCCCTTTCTTGTGTAGCTCAAGGTCTACAGACCTCCTGATGAACGAAAAAACATAAATACATAATTACCAAATCAAAGATATAAATAATAATCCAAGGTGTAACGAGTAATATAGGGTTTTTTTTTTTTTGTCTTATTCTTCCATAAAATAAAAGAATCAAAACTCCAAACCTGATCACATAAACTATATAGTAATAGTCAATAAATTATAACTCAATTAGTATTAATGTCTTTCTTTTATCCATCTGATTTTGAATTCGAACCTCTTCTATATAATAAATAAATTTTGTTAAAAAAAAACTATATAGCAATACATAATCTAGTTAGCTGTGTGTGCACCAAATGTAACGTGAATTAGTTAGCTGTATATGCACCAAATATAACGTGAATTGATGATAACTAGTAAAGTAGATGAGCTAGGAATTTTAATTATGTCGAGAAGTAGATAAATAAGTAAAGGGATCATTTTGAACTTTGGAAGGCAGCAGCCCCCACCAGCCCCTTTGGCTCCGCCTTAATAATAAATCTCTGTATAGCAAACTTATAAACAATTATCATCATTAATGTTTTGACTTAAATTATAAATATGGTACTAAACCAATATAGACTTTATGTTCCTATATGCATCCATGATCAAGAAAACTGTTCATTTTCAGCCCTAAAGTCTCAAGAAAATATCAGAAATGTGTAAAACTTAAAGTCAAAGCTGTCATGCCACTATCGATCCTAGCTAGAATCCACTAGGACAAATTAATTACAAAGCTCTCTAACCCATAAGTAAATTAATTTAGTAATAATATAATATTCCCATGTTAAACTTCATGTAGTACTAATCCATTACATATTAAAAAAATATATATATATTCTTGTCCTAGTCATAGGCTTCCTAACACCTAATTAAACAACAAGAAAAGGCATTATAAAGACTATTAAATTTTGAGTGAGAGCCGATAGAAAATGAGTGAAGCTAGAACTGGGTCATAAAACCAAATTATCCTTTATTTTTTTCAAATGAACCAAATAAGTAATAGTAATAAGAACAGATTATAAGAGTAGAGGTGATAAGATAACACGGAAAAACCAAAACAAGAGTACAGATATCTTGCTACGACACTGAAACTATAATACAGGTATCATGTCATGATT